AACCACACAACTAAATATGACAATACACTAGAATGGTGTAGTATAACTACACAACTAAATATGACAATACACTAGAGTGGTGTAGTATAACTACACAACTAAATATGACAATACACTAGAGTGGTGTAGTATAACTACACAACTAAATATGACAATACACTAGAATGGTGCAATATAACTACACAACTAAATATGACAAAACACCAGAACAGTGCAGTATAACCACACAGTTAAATATGACAATACACCAGAACAGTGCAGTATAAAGAGACAGCTAAATATGACAATACACCAGAACAGTGCAGTATAAAGAGACAGCTAAATATGACAATACACCAGAACAGTGCAGTATAAAGAGACAGCTAAATATGACAATACACCAGTGCAGTGCAGTATAAACACACAGCTAAATATTACAATACACTAGAACGGTGCAGTATAAACACAGCTAAATATGACAATACACCAGAACAATGCAGTATAAACACACAACTAAATATGAAAATGCATTGAAACAGTGCAGTATAACCACACAGCTAAATATGAAAATGCACCAAAATGGTACGATATAACACAGCTAAATATGACCAGGCACCAGAACGGTGCAGTATAACCACACAACTAAATATGAGAATATACCTGTTTCCAAAGTTCCAGTGGACATATTAGATTGATTTTGTAGTTCATTTCTGATTGTACATATTGAAAGTAATGCATGAGAACAGTATACCAAACCAAACTCTTCAGTGAGCATTACCCAATGATCCACATCCATAACTTTATTATTTAAGATAGTAATTCAGATTTTTAAATTTCTGTATGTTATATCAGTTATATATATATATATATATATATATACATATATATATACACACACACACACTAACAAAAGTGCTTGGCTTGGATTATTAGGTTGATTTATTCTAGATGACTATGTCAGTGCATATATTCTGAACCCATTTTAGCATAAAAGTATAACCTATATACTTTTGTTGCTTCTTTATGGGATGTAACCTCTTTATGTGACCCTCTATCTTGTTCTCCGATTTTAAACTTAAATAATAAAAAACAAACCTTTTTAATTAATGGAGCCTCTAAATTAGAAAACAACAAATATTTTTTTTAATTTGTAGCTTATACAGTTCATTTTATAATTTCAGCACACAGCCACTTAACAACAATATTAGGTTATACTTTTGTTGCTAAGAAACATGATGTAAAAGCCACTGTTATAACACATTGTTACCAAAATGCTCTGGCTTTTCTGTATATTAGAAGTTGTTATAGTATAAGGTATCACTTCTTTTCTATATTGTTTTTTGCTAGATTGCCTCATTAAAAAGATGCACCTGGATAAGATAAGTAATAATACCCAGGTGCATACCCTCAGGGTTCACTTAGTATGAGTGCAAATTTTCAGGTTTCTAGGTTCTTCTTTCATGGAGTTATGGCAATCACACAAAAAACCCACAGACATGCCCTTTTATTATGGTATATATATATAAAATGATGTGCTTTTTGAAAACTGAAAAGTATAATATTTTTTACAACAGGTTAAAATGGCTTATGGAAGATTAAACATTTTAAAAATATATTGATTTTTGCTTCTTAAAAGTGGCAAAACTTAGTTTTGAAGGATTAAATGTTCTGAAAATAAAATGCTTTAACTTTTTTCTTTGACAGGCTAAACTTGCTTTTGAGAGATTAAACATCCCCAAGATTTATCATCCTTTCATTTGTGGACCCTACAATGAGAGTATTAATCAGTTGAAAAACCAGACAGGTGCTCGTATCAACGTGCCACCAGCTAGTGTCATCAAGGATGAAATAACAGTTGCTGGTGAGAAAGAAGCCGTAGCTGCAGCAAAAGATGTCATCATGGAGATCTACCAAGAGAAGGTAACAGTGATTTAAGATTTAACTGTGTTTGTGCAATACATTATTTTTTTTTCATATACTTGTGCATTTACTTGGGTACTTGTTTCTTAATTCTATCAGATGTCAGTAGGAATATGAGTCATTAACACCAACAAGCTAAGTTCTTAGAATTACTAATATAGTTTTCTCCCACTGAAGCTGTAGTCACTTGACCCACTCTGGGAAGAAGACTATCTTACTAGTTCACCAGTTCTGAATGATAGCAAAGTTAATTCAAATATAGAAAATGAAAAAAAAATTAATAAGTAAATGATGTTGAAAATGAAATAAATAATATTATGCTGTTAATTTTTACCCTAACTCTGATTTATAAATGACTTGGATAAAATAGCTAATAATTACAATTTGCCTATTTAATCTAGTTCACAATATAAAAGTTGTTTTTCATGAAAATGATAATATAAATAGTACTTCTACCATCAACCACTAGTATGTCTGACATATCCCTGATGAGCTGTGGTTGAAAGGTGTCCTTGCAACTGGATATGACAAATAGTGTGGTTTACATATTATTCTTTGCTTTCATTTATAAATTCTTAGAATTACCTCTCTCTATTCATTACTACCTAAACTTCACCTCACAGTAACTATCTACCATTACCTTTGTATGCAATGTACCTAACCTTCACATTCTTGTAACAACCTAAAATCACATCTTGCTATCCAGTGGTAACTAACCTTCATTGTACCCCATCTAACATTAACTCTTTCCTAACCTTCACCTTTATGTACATTATCTAATACTACTCTGCTCATTGCTACCTAACCTTATTTTGTGAAAGAAGGTAACCAGTTTTATATGACTATGAAGTAGCGTTGTCATATACTAATGAAAGAAAGTAACCAATTTTTATAGGACTATGAAGTAGCATTGTCTTATACTAATGAAAGAAAGTAACCAATTTTTATAGGACTGTGAAGTAGCATTGTCTATACTAATGAAAGAAAGTAACCAATTTTTTAGGACTGTGAAGTAGCGTTGTCTTATACTAATGAAAGAAATGTAATCATTGTTTCTTCAGCAACGAAAATGCCAGACTGTTTCTGTTGAAGTGAAGAAAGCTCAACACAAGTACGTGATTGGTACTCGAGGTCAAACGATTCAAGAAATCTTAGCTCAGACAGGTGTGTCAGTTGAAGTGCCTTCCACGGACAACCCTTCTGAAACAATTACTTTACGTGGAGAGCAGGAAAAACTTGGACCTGGGCTGTCTATGCTGTATGAAAAGGTCAGTCTGTGTTACTTTTCTTGCTGTTAGGCTTAAAGAAAAGTTACCAAATAAATATGCTATATTGAAAGGAAATTGTTTGGAATTTGAAATGTTTATAGAATGGTAACTGAAGCCAGTGTGGGGGAAAAAATTCCCTCATTTTTAAGTTTTATTTTAATAGTTCTTTTGTTTATGGTAGTAATGTTTTTGTTCTTCAGGCTAACAGTGTGGTAATGGCTGAAGTTGATGCTCCTAGTTGGCTTCACAAGTACATCATTGGAAGGAAAGGAGTTAATATCAAACATGTGACTCAAGACCTGACTCGTGTGAGAATTGTTATTAGTTCTTTATGAATAGTTTAAAATTTGTAATGATATTAATTAATAATGTATTGAACCATTACAAACATATAATTAAAAACTCTCAAAGTACGAATCAGTACACTTTTTGTTTGATATTATAATTTATGACGTGAATTTAGCAAGAATCACCAATGATTCCAGTAAAATGTATAGAAACTATAGTTACAAAGCTATAGTAAATCTTTAGTAACGAGTATACTGAAATGGTGATGAGATGTGTTCTTACCCATTTTATAATGTATTCAGTTTTGTTATCTATAACAGTATATTCAAGATGGTTTATGAGGAGAGCTGGTCCTTTGGAATTGCCATTGCCTGAAGACTGGTTAAGGCAGTTTTTAAAATGTGACATAAATCATAATTTAAGTGTAAAATTGCTAAGCAAAATATTTCGTAGGTAATGTTGAACAAAATTTTGAAGTTATAATTTGCTTGTAAAAAGTATTGCTTTATTTTTTCAGAAGGAATTAACACAAAATTTTATTTTATTATTGTCATCAAAGGTTCATGTAGAATTTAACAATGATGCTGGTAAAATTAAGTTGGAAGGACCACAAGATGAACTAGATAGAGCTCGTCAGGCTTTGGAGATTGTGATTGAAGATCTGAAGGCAACTGTGACATATGAAGAAATTCGTGTGGATCCAAAGTATCATAGGCATATCATAGGAAAGAATGGAGCCAATGGTATGGAGAACTATTTCTTATTTATCTTGTGGTGTATTCTTGAAATCTTCGAAAGAAGTTCTAGATTTGAACTGGAGTCTTGTGGCAAACATTTTGCATTTAACACCATGTTTTCTGTTGTCTTCAATTAGGCTCTCTCTATCTCTGTGATTGAGACATTTTTTGTTGTTGTTGAAGTTGTACAAAAGATCTTTTTAAGCTTTCCAGTTGCTGTTTATTAGGCTGCCACCTACAGCCACCTCTTCTGATTGACTAGTTTATGCTTTATTGAGATTGTTCCAATGATTGTTTTTCTTAAGAAGATGGGTTGAAAGATTTCCCTTTCGAACCCATAGCCTTGGATTTGAAACTAACCGTGAGAATAATTTTTTGCACTACAACATATTTTAGTGATGGATTATCAAGTATCATCTAGCTCCAGGCATGAACTAGAATAGGTAGATATAGGATTGCTGTTTCTTTTTTCTTCTTATGTGTGGTTTTCCTCTTTTGGTTAAGGTGAAAAAAAGATTTACAACATTTGAGTATGTAAGCCACTTTAAAATATCGGTACATGAAGAACTTCTTTAAACACACTTGGTTTGTTTTCTGTTAACAAATGGTCTTTGCATTGATTTCATGGATGTTTTCTTTTGCTATATGATAGGGTGTTTGCAAAGAAACATGATTTTTCTCTCCTTCCCTTACTCTAAGTAAAATGAAATTGTGGCTGGTGAATGATCATGTTAACTCTATTCATTTAGGTGGGTCAAAGTGTGCATGCCACGACCTTTTTACATGATTACACTCAATATTTAATTAAATAACTTATTAATATATGTCAATAAATTTGGCATTAAAACATAATATAAAAATTTTAATTATAAACTCTCCAAGTTTTAATTTCAAAAAGAAATATTTGATTATGTTCCCAATTTTCACTTCTTTGTGCCACATGACAGATCTTGTGCTCAAGTGTTTCTCTTATATATCTTCTTTATTCTGTTGTATGGATTTGAGAGTGTTCAACTAATTAGAAACATAAATTATAGATAGTGGTAAGTCAGAATAGAAAACTTGAACTTCTAATATATTCAATTTGCTGAGGTGTTAGTAAATTTGTTGAACCCACCTGAGAGGTTCTTCCTATGTTATCATAGCTTTAGGCTTGTTTTATAGATGTTGTTATAAACAATAGAGCACCTGTAAATAGACTAGGCTCTTTGTTTTGAGTAAAGTTATTGCTCTAAGCAGTAATGGTATTGTATTTAACCTATTTAAAACTTAGTTAGAAAGCCAACTAAATTATAGAGGTTTCAGGACAATATTTTTGTGTCGTAAATTAAAAGCTATATGAATTCTTTTTGGAAAACCAACATAGTAAGAAAGAAAAGTAAATTACTAACGCAGGGTATTCGAGTGCAAACAGCCACAGCAGTAAAGTAAGTGTTAACAGTCTTTTTTATGTGTACGTTTTATTTATTGGTATACATTTTTAACTAAAGTAACTAAAATGTAGTAAAAATTAGAAACTTGTTAGGTTAAAACAAAAATGAGAAAATAAAAAAAATTTTGCAAGATCAACTTGGATCTAAAGTACACCGTAAAGTAATTCAACTAAAAAAAAAAGCAGATGTGTTAAGTTTAGAAGATGAGGCTGTTGGGATAAGTAATTTTAATTGTATGTTAGTATACACAATCATTCTAGACAAAAAAAAAATAGGTATTGTAGATTTTATTTAATATTTTTCAACTTTTCGTTTCATTGATGATTTCACTACTGTTAGTGATAGAGAAAGTAAGAGATGAAATATAAAGTTTTACTGAAAAACAGCAACAACTTGATATTCGTTTATGAGGCTCTAGAAGTTGTGTAAATGTAAGATGAAGATAAGTATTTTTATTCTTAGCATGAACATCATCTTTGATTTGGACTGACTCAGTAAAGGCTTCATAAATTCACAGACAAACCTTTAGTAAAAAAACATATCAGTTTTTAAATTTTGCAGATCAGACTAGAGGATTGAAAACATGTTTACAAAGAAATGACTAGTCACACTCCAGAAAAAAAAATTATTTTAATCAAACCTAAGATTTTGGCTTAAGCCTTTCTCAAGGGTTACAGTGTAACATACAAACACAAACTGATAACCGAAAAGAACATGTACCACAATTAAAAACTGACTTAACAATAGTAATGTCATCAGGAACGTCGAGAGCCAGCACGGGCCCTGGGGCAAACATCCTTGCCGGGCCCTCCCTTTTCTCTCTTTTTTAACATTTTCAAGAATTTATTAAAAAGATCCTAAACTAGGACAGCAACGCGCTCATAAACCAGATAAATTCATAGCAGCAGCCGTTTTTACAAACTGATAACCGAAAAGAACATGTACCACAATTAAAAACTGACTTAACAATAGTAATGTCATCAGGAACGTCGAGAGCCAGCACGGGCCCTGGGGCAAACATCCTCGCCGGACCCCCTTTCTCTCTCTCTTTTTTAATATTTTCAAT